AGCCTCAACCTCCTGAGCTCAAGCTAACCTCCCACCTCAGCCTTCTGAGTAGCCAGGACTATAGTTGCATGCTGCCATGCTCCACTAACTTAAAACATTTTTTCTGTTGTGACGAGATCTCCTTATGTTGCCCAGGCTCGTCTAGAACTCCTGGGCTTAAGCGATCCTCCTGCGTTGGCCTCCCAAAGTGCTGGGATTACTGGCATAAGCCACTTCCCCTCACCTTTTTTCTTTTCTTTTCTTTTTTTTGATATGGAGTTTTGCTCTTGTTGCCCAGGCTGGAGTGCAGTGGCATAGTCTCGGCTCAATGTAACCTCCGCCTCCCGGGTACAAGCAATTCTCCTGCCTCAGCCTCCCGAGTAGCTAGAATTACAGGCACCCACCACCATGCCCAGCTAATTTGTTTGTATTTTTAGTAGAGACAGGTTTCACCATGTTGGCCAGGCTTGTCTTGAACTCCTGACCTCAGGTAATCCACCTGCCTCAGTTTCCCAAAGTGCTGGGATTACAGGCATGAGCCACCTCGTCCGGCCTACCTTTGTTTTCAACTGAAGGAAGTTCACATAACAGACAGTGAACGATTCTAAGGCACAGGACTCAGTGCATCAGGAGCTTCACGATGTCCTGCGACCACCGCTTCCATCCAGCCCCCAATCACTGTCACCGCCCCAAAGTCAAACCTGCACCCACAAAGCAGCCACTCCCTATATCCATGCCTCTGGCAACCACTAATCTGTCTTCTGTCTCCCGGGATTCACTTATTCATATAAACGGGATCATACAATATGTAGCCTTTTGTGTCTGGCTTCTCTGACACAGGGTCATGTTTTCAAGGTTCAACCTCAACCTACTGAGTTCTCATCTTGGTCCAGCTTCTGATTTACTTTGTGAGTGGGGACAAAGCCAGAGCCAGAAAGGCCTTTAGAGGCTCTGGGCAGTGAAAAAATGCCAGCGCTTGTCCGAGTGTGAGCCAATGTGAAGACAATGCTTGATTACCAACGAAGCATGAGAAAAATCTAAACAAAAGTTCAGAATTTTATGTAATGACAACTTTAAAGTTTTTTTTTTGTTTGTTTGTTTTTTTTGAGATGGGGGTCTCTCTTTGTTGCCTAGGCTGGTCTCGAACTCCTGTGCCCAAGCTATGTTCCTGCCTTGGTCTCCCAAAGTGTTGGGATTATGGCATAATGACACCGAGCCAGCCTGAAGTTTTTTTTTGTAAAGATAAAAATATTAAATTATTCCTAACTTTTTTTTGACACGTCGATGTCCTAGGCACAGGCTTCATCTGTTGGGGACATTAGCCCCAAACAAAAGTCAGTCTCGGTTGGAAAGTGAAATTGAATTGTGGAGCTAAAAATACTGTGCGCCCTTCCCCTACCCTGAGCTCCCCGCAACGTTTTGAGAGCTAATACGACAACACATGGGCCCACCCTCAGAACTCTCTGGAAGAGAAGTGCTCTGATTTCAGTGTACAGCACACGCTCAGCGAAATGCAGCTCAGAGGACCCTGCCCAGGCCTCCTCAGCCCTGTCCAGTGAATGTCCCTGCCTGTGGGCAGTTAGTGAATAACAGCAACCCGAGTAAAACATAAAACCCAGTTAGCCCAATCCAAACAAGTTTGGGGTGGGGAGCTGTGCCCTGCGTTACAGGTAAAGAAAATGGAGTGGGGACCTTTGTCCAAAGGGTCTGAGCTTTGGGAATTGAGACGCACAGCTTGTTCTCAGGAACTCGGAGTCCTTCATAACACTGGCATACATCTCGAGAGATGTAGCCGCAATGAATAGAACCACCAAGATCCCTGCTACTGGAGCGGACACTCTGCCAGATAGTCCGAAATGCTGACGTGTGTCAGTGTATTTAATTTTCACACCTCTGTGCTGTAACTCCTGTTGCTACCTGAGCACTGACGTTGCGTGGTACTGATGGGCACATAAAGCACAGAAAGGGTGAGGGTTTTGCTGGGGAAGTGATCCGGCCAGGCTTGAACTCCGATCTGCCTGATTTTCTAAAGCCCACGCACCTCTTAACTCCTACAGTTCTGCCTGGAGACCACAGGATGGGAAGGAGGGCTCCCGCCCCCACCTCCACCCCCACTCCCAGTGGGAATTAAATACTCCCCAGTCCATCTGCTAATTTATGTTCTCTGGCCCCTCCCCTCCCTCCCCTCACCCCTCTACAACCCCAGCCACTCTCCTTACCACCCCCGCCAGCAGACACTCCCCTGCCAGGACCTCAATCCTCTTGGCAGGCATAGCCGGCTGCCCAAGACAATGGAAAGTCCCTGGGCTCGGTCTGCCCCGTGACGCAATGCCGCACAATACAAGCCCCTTTCTGTGCCTACTGCCCAGCTGCCGGCCCAGGAGAACAAAGAGGGGGCACAGGCAGGGCAGGGGGACTCCATATGCTGAGCAGGGGCACCTGACGCTGGGCTGAGCCAGGCTGGCCGGGAGCAGAGTGGGTCTGTGAGGCAGGAGCCTGGGGGTCCATCCCGCCCAGGAGCAGTGAGGGTCTGTGAGTACGGGAGACCAGACAGGGATGTCCCACAGTTTTCCCTATAGGCTGCTCTGTCTACCCCCTAGCCGGCTTGAACAGTTGTTAGCATCATCTCCAGGGTTCTAGAATTTTGGCTAGCCCCAGGCCCCGGCCTTGCAGAGGAACCCAGGGTCACCGTGGGACCATCCCACAGTGAACGAGTCTCTGGGGGTAGGAGCTTGTGGCCCAGGAAGTTCTGGCCGTTGCCAGCAGAGGAAGTGTGAGCCATCACTCAGGCTCTCTCAGCTTCAGCGTCCTTGTCTGTAAAATGGGTAGACCTCCATAGTTCATAGGGTGAAATGAGCTAACCCAGGAGAGAATGCTGTAAAAGGTATTATCAGTGGGGACAGTAAGGGTGATCCTGGGTGAGAAAGGGAAGAGATGGAGTGGGAAGCCTCAAAGCCCCCCTGGGAGGGATCAGAAGGGGCCAGGAAGCTCGGAGGCTGACTCAGTGCTCAGGCAGCTGGAATGGGAGAAGAAGGTTATCTACTATCCTCCCCAGCCCCGAGCCCAAGACAGACACGTCCAGATTGGAAGCAAGGTGGGGAGTGGTATTCTCTGGCTCTCCTAAGGGCCCAGATCCCAAAGTCCACTCATCTAGACCATCCTTGTCCCACCAGTTAGTATCTGCCAAATGCCCACTGGTGCCAGGCACTCTGTGGGCAGCATTTCCGGGATGGAAGACATCAGAAGGAAGAGCAGGGAGCCAAACAGAGCCTGAGCTGCGGGAGGGGCCGGGCAGGCGCGAGTCTGGTCTACCGTTCCTCCCTCCCCCACTCCCTCCCAAGTCCAAGCAGGAGGGCTTTGCATCAGCGACTGTTGCTCCCGCCTCCATCTCCCTGAACATCTGTTTCTTTTCGGGGTGGGGGGTGGGGCGAGAAGAGAAGAAAGCGAGGGGGAACCAGGGGCTCCTACTGCCGCTTTCAACTCTCACAGCCTCGGTAATTGAATGCAGCTTCCCAGGGACTCGTCCAGCACAAAGGGGGCCTTTCAGGGGCTGTCCTGCCAGGCGACAGGCAATCAAGTGACTGCTTCGTCTCCCTGGTCTCTTAACAGCACCTCAAAGCCACTCAATCAGCAATTACTGGGTCCTGGTGACGGGAGTGGGGTGGGGTTGGGGGGGACGGCAGAAGGAGGCAGGACCCCGAAGAAAAGAGGAAGCAAAGCAAAGCCCTTTTGCCTTTTTGTTCATCACCAGCCCAAAGGATCTGGCACCAGACTCAGCTGGCGATGGGGTCAGGAGTGGTCCTGGCCTTTGGGACTGTGTGAAGACCTTGGGGCCCGGCAGGCCACCCTTATCTTGTTGAATCTCATGAAGTCTGGGAGGAATGTGTTGCCCTAGATGACAGAGGAGGCACCCTGTGCAGCAACTTGGGAGACTGGAAGCAGGGGCCCCCTCCCGCATCCACAGTCCCAGGGGCTCCGCACCGATTCTAGCCTGAAGCCAGCAGCACATCTGTGCAGGATGTTCCACCTTCCCCTGTATGCCTCTACTCTGGGGGCCAGCCGGGGTCTCTCTGCAGGGGCTGCAGTCTCTGGATTAGAGGTGGGGTGTGGGTGATGTGTCTCCTGTGTGTCTCTGAAGAGCCTCAGAATTGTGCCCTTGGACAATTTTGTCGAGGCTCTGGGCTCTGTGCTAAGACAGCTGGAAATCTCCCAGGAATGTCCTTTGAAAAATGTCAGCTGAGAATCAACATCATATGTGCCACCTGTGCCCTCATAGGTAAAGTGACAGCCTATGTGCATCCTGCTCCGCCCCTACCAACCGGCTGTTAGAGATGTCTGTGTTCAGGGGGCTCGAGGGAGGTCACCGGGGTGGGGTTGGAGTCAGTGAAGGCCTCTCTCCCTCTTCATTTGCATGGCAGGGCAATTAGATATTAAATGAGAACACACAAAGCCCAGGGCTTGGCACGCTGCAGGTGCCCAGTATGTAGCTTAGCCTCTCCCTGGCCTGTCTCTGCCTTGCAGCGTTTCTCGTTTGGCACAAGCTTGGGCTGCCAGGGCCTGGAAGGCGGTCAGGCTAAGGAGAAGCTGACGACGAGGTCTCAGCTGAGCCTGTTGGACTCATGGCCCATCTGGTGGAAACGAGGTAAACACAGGCAAAAGGTCAGAGCCATTCGGCAGAAGAGTGATGGCAGAACATGAGCCCCACTCCAGCCAGCTGCAAACCTGCACGGTTCCCTTCTATGCCTGACCCAGTCCTGTTCACACTTTGGGGCCCAGTTCACATAAATGCCACCTCCTTCAGGCAGCCCTCTCTGAGCCTCCAGGGGAAGTGGCTTCCTCATGCTGCTTTATCTGCCTCTGCACTGCAGGAAAGAAACAGGAAGACTTTTGTTCACCACTTTCTTCATCAAGTTACTGTGGTTCTATAATATTTTATTTTATTTATTTATTTATTTGAGATGGAATCTCACTCTGTCACCCACGCTGGAGTGCAGTGGCGCCATCTCGGCTCACTGCAACCTCCACCTCCCAGGTTCAAGTGATTCTTTTGCCTCAGCCTCCCAAGTAGCTGGGACTACAGACATGTGCCACCACGCCCAACTAATTTTTGTATTTTTAGTAGAGACGGGATTTTTAGTAGTATTGGCCAGGCTGGTCTCGAACTCCTGACCTTGTGATTCGCCCACCTCGGCTTCCCAAAGTGCTGGGATTATAGGCGTGAGCCACCGCGCCTGAGCAGTTTCATAATATTTTAATGAGAAATGAAAACGTGGTTATTTATATACATATGGCCTTTCCTAATAAATCATAACACATTATAACGCAACATTTATTAGAGTCTGTCTTGCCCACTGCCATAGCCATGACTCCTCTACAGCGTCTGGTTCTGTTTAGTGGGTACAGAACAAATAGCTGTTCAGTAAATGCATCAAGGAATGAATGAATAAGTTTCATAGAAAGCAAACCCAGCACTTACTCCTCCCAGGTACTACACAGAGTCTCACCTGTGCCGGTATGCAGGACAGATGTCACGGGGGTGGGGGCAATGAGGGGATGCATTTTGGGCTCTTTGTCGGCAAGTGGGGGGCCTTCAAAGCCCTCTCTTTTTCATCATCTTTACTTGAAAATAGTCTTAATGCCACCAGTGCCTCCCAGAGGACTCTGAAGGTTAGATGGTGTCATTCACAAACAATCCTCAGAATGCTTCCTGGCTTCTAGTAATAAATAGTACAGCAAATATGATTCACAGCTGGGCGTGGTGGCTCACACCTGTGATCCCAGAATTTTGAGAGGCTGAGGTGGGTGGATCACCTGAAGTCAGGAGTTCAAGACCAGTCTAACCAACATGGTAAAACCCTGTCCCTACTAAAAGTACAAAATTAGCTGGGCATGGTGGCACGTGCCTGTAATCCCAGCTACTCGGGAGGCTGAGGCAGGAGAATTGCTTGAACCCGGGAGGCAGAGATGGCAATGAGCCAAGATTGTGCCATTGCACTCCAGCCTGAGCAACGAGGGAGAAGCTCTGTCTCAAAAAAAAAAAAAAGAAAAAAAAAGAAAAAGAAAAAGAAAATATGATTTGCTCTGTGTATCTTCTTTTTAAAATGTGCTTAATTTCACCGCAATGCAACGAAGGGGCCGTCATGATATTGCAAGAACTGAAGATCAAGATCAGAAGGTGTGTGCCATCAGTTTGGAATTTCTTTTCCATTGAGATTTACTTGTGTGCTAAGTATACACATTGTTTTTCTACCAAACTTGGGCTCTTGTTTTGAAAATGAAGTTGCTGCGCAGCCATGCTGCAGTGTTAGAAGCTCTATCGAACAGGCCAGGGGCCTCTCAATCTCCAGCCTTTGCCCTCTGCCCCCAGCTCCTGTGCCCTGGCCCTCTACGTGAGAGCCAGCCTCTCTCTCCTCTAACCCATCACCCCCAGCTGAATTATAGCCTTTCTCATATCGCATCATGTGTGTTTGTTTATAAGTCAAACTGACGTTTTGTTTATTACCATATCACAGGAAAACGGCTGGGCAGGTTTCCGCCAATTTTGGAGAGTGAGTTTTGGGTGGTCTGACTCAGAATATAAACCAGGCAGCATACGCAAAACCCACTCGCCAAAGACCTGGGGGGAGGGACGCCCTTGAAAAGAGAGGCGGTTGTTCTTCCTGGAGGCTGAAACCAAAGGGCCCTGGCCTGTGCAGCTGCTGATCCTCAGGGACGAAACCTTGCACAAACTGTCATAGGCATGAGAACTACCAGCGGCATCCTTATCAGCCCCCACTCCAAGGTCGAAATGGTGGGGGCTCCGCATTGCAGATGCTGATTGGTAGCCGAGCTGCTTGTCACATGGGTAAGTGAGTGGCAGCAGCACTTCTTTAGGGGCCTCATCTGGACCATAGTGGGGCCGGGCACCGGGGTTCATGTCTGTAATCCCAGCACTTTGGGAGGCCGAGGTCTGCGGATCACTTGAGGTCAGGAGTTCGAGGCCAGCCTGGCCAACATGTTGAAACCATGTCTCCACTAAAATACAAAAATGAGCTGGGCATGGCGGCTTGTGCCTGTAATCCCAGCTACTCAGGAGGGTGAGGCAGGATATCGCTTGAACCCAGGAGGCAGAGGTTTCAGTGAGCGGAGACTGCACCACTGCACTCCAGCCTGGGTGACACAGCAAGATCCTGTCTTAATAACAACAAAAATCTCACAACTTGGATCACATGGGTTTTGCCCCCCACTGAGTCCCTGAGTAAGCCGGGCTAAGTTGGGGTCTCTGTCCCTGCCAGCTTTGGGCTAGGGAGTTAGGTCCAGCCTGCTCGGCTCTGCCAAGCCCATCAGTTACCCTGGAGCTGAACAAAACAGCAGTAAGTGAGAGGCCCGCAGCCCACGGGGCCCACAACGTGACCCCAGGCTTCTTGGCACCTCCTGCACAGCCAACAGCCCCGCTCCCTGCTGGCACCTCTTCCTTTACTTCCTCTCCCAGGCCTGGGCAGAAAGGTCCAGGGCGTGGGATGCAGTGCCCTTTCGTGGCCTTTCGTGGCCCTTTCCTCAGTAACCACTGGGCTTGGCTGAGGCAGAGAGGGCTGGGGTGGGAAGCTGTAAGACTTTGTGGTTGGAATGCACACAGCCCTTCCCCCCACAGCCTGGGACACAGTGTCCCCGCGTGACCCACCTAATGGCTGCTCTCTGAAGCTGTGTCTTCCAGAAGCATCGACCCGCACTTCATATAAAAGCTGACATTTATAGAATGGTTGCCATGTACCTGACTCTATGCTGCATTCATGTGTCTAATCTCAGCAGATCCTCGCATGGCCTCAGGACAGAGCCTGTTATCACCCTGCCTGTTCCACAGATGGGGAAACTGAGGCTTAGAGAGGTTACTTGGCACACCCAGGACATCCCAGCTCACGGGCAGCAAAGCCAGGATTCAAACTCAGGTTCAAAGCTCCAAAGCCTAACGCCTCCTGGTCTACACTGCTTCCCAACCTCGGGCTTCAGGGCACCCAGCCCTCTGTTTCTGAAGCTTGTTCTGATCCTTGAGGAGTTAAGTGGAGCATTTTTCCAGGGCAATGCAGGGCTCATGTGTCAACCTTGCCCCGAGTTTCCCTCTCTGCACCTTCGGCATGCTCCCTTGCAGGCCAGACCTAATGAGTAACTGAGCCTGTGGGGTGACTCCTATAAGTGTGGAGGGCCATGCTCTTCGGGGGACACCCCTGTGACCAAGGTTCCTGGGACCTCGTTAGCGCTGGCTGCCAACTTTGAGCAGAACTTGGGATGGGACATATATGACTTCAGGGTGGTTTCTTGGGCTCCTTAGTCTTTGGCACCCCATGAAGGAAAGGAAGAAAGCCCATCTACTGTCCCACTCTGGGAGGGGCTGCTCCCTCCCCTCTGCAGGACACCTGGCCCTCCTGCTCTCACCTGAGAGTCGGAGATTTCCGAGGGCTTCTCGGTCAGGCTGCTGCTCTCTGCAGGGATGAGGTCATTGTACTTGGTGACATCCTCATCTGAGTAGTGCAGGCTGCCTGGGCTGGGCCGAGGGGGAGACCTGGAGAGAGCAGGGGAGTGGCGCTGAGAGGTGCCCTCACTCAGGGCAGCCTCTCCTGGTCTGGGGAGACCACAGGGAGGCCTGGGGAGGATGGGTCCCCACCACCCTCTGCTCCTCTTCATTCCTGGGCGTGGACTTGGGAGACAGGCCTGGCGGAGGACATAGAGGGAAAAATAGGGTGCCAGGCTAACACTGTCCAGGCAACACGCAGCGTGAATGTGGGGTGGGGGTGTCACTGTGGCTGGGTTCAGGGCCCCACTTCCTGGAGTTGGTTTGGTGCAAATGGGATTTTTGTGTACACAGAGTGGCTTTGGGGGCACACAGGGGCCTGAATGTGTGTGCACTGTGGGTAGGAGAGGCTGGGAGGGGCAGGGAAGGTGAGGCCATGGGTGAAATGCCCCCTTGTTACATGTGGCAGTGACCCGGAGCCAGCCTGGCGGGGCTACTGTGGGAGCCTCAAACAGCTCTTTCTTTGGAAGGCTGATTTGGCGGAGGATGAGAGCTCGGCTTTGGGAGCCCCTCCCTCCACCCTCCAGATGAACACACACATGGCTTCGTCTCTCTAAGACAGAGACAGAGGGAAGCTTTGTGAGCTCCCAAGAGAGGCTGGACTCCTCCTGCCTGCCACCTCCTATGAGCTAGGAATGCCAATAGGGCTGAGGCCTGACACAGGAGCCCTGTGGCCTGGTCCCTGTTGAGCTCAGGGGAGCGGAAAACCACCATACCACACATCAGGGGAGGGTCAGGTGGGCCCCAGCAGTGTCTCCGGCCCTTGGAAATGGGCAGCCCAGTGGCCATAGGGAGTGGGCCCTAGGAGGGGGCTGGGGTTAGAAAGAAGTCAGGAGAAAATGGAAGCTGTGCTCGCCCACCAGCCTTGTCCTGTCCTCATGGGCTGCTTTCAGATGCCACCCTTTGAGGCTAATGGGGATAGGAGGTGGGCGTAAATCAGGACCCAGGGGAGAGGATTTCCCAGATGGAGGGGAAGACGGTAGGTGCTCAGGCATCCTTCGCTAAGGTGTGTTTGCTCGGTCTGCCTTGGCTGGGCCTGTCTTGCCTTCGGGGCGAGTGACTACCTGCAGGCCTGTTTCCCTGGCAGTTGGCTCTGAACAGCAATAGGTTGGTTTGCAAAATGTTGCCAGTTATCTGCATTCTGCTGTCACTGTCAGGAACTCTTAGTAGCCACCTCCTGGTAAATTTCTCCCCAGGGCGTCCTCAGCCCCAGGCTGTGGCTGGGCATGGTGGACACTGGGACCGGCCCCTGGTGGTCCTGCTTGGGCCCCACCGTGTCTTTCTGCTGATCATTCCCAGCCCTGGGGCTTGAATGCTGTTTCCCGGGACAAGGTACGGCCAGGTGGGCACCGCCCGCTCTATGGCCCTCCCCAGCATTCTCCCACCCTGGGTCTGGCTCCCCAACCCCCCCCCGAGGGCTCACTACCTGGTGTACAGGCCGTTCTTTCGACAGAAAGAGTTCTTGACGGAGAGCCGCCTGTTGTTGAGTTCCAGGGCAGGGAAGCTGCTTTCATCCAAGCTCATCATCTCGCTGTGGCCTAGGGCTCCAGACTTGGCGCTGCTCCCTGAAGTCGGCGGGAGATCGACACCCTTTAGATCGTGTGGCCTCGCCTCTCCCCTACCACTCCCCACCTGGCTGGGCTAAGCGCTCTTACTCTCAGTAGAGTTGAGACCAAAATAGGAGACTGAGATTGTGTGCAGAAACCCTAGGCTGCCCCGCCCACAAGAGCAGGTGTACTACCAAGAGAGGGACCCCATCACCCCCGTCCTGGCCAAAGGGCAGATACGTAAAAGTCAAGTCCAGCCAGCACGGCTGGTCCAGCTCACTCACCCGAGTCTGTCTTCTTGGCGTACTTCTTGCTCTGGCCCCGGATGATGAGCACAAAGACCAGCAGCAGGATGAAGATGAGGCCGACCAGGGCGATGACCACTAGGAACCACCACTCCTCATAGAAGGGGTTGGCTTTCTGGGCTGGAGCATGGGTGGGGTCAGGTCCAGGGTGCTCAGCCCCTTCCTCCCTCTCAATCTCCCACTCCAGCTGGGACTCCACCAGCCGCTCACAATCTATGCGAAGGCAGGGTCTGTGCCCTCTGAATGAGGCAGAACCTCTGTAAGGATGGGTTCACCTCAAGGACCCGCTCTGATCAGTGGGTAAAGGACTGCCAGGAGGGCTGATGTCAGATGTGTTCTGAGATGGCTGCGTGGCTCAACAGGAAAGAGTGCTAGGATCGATTAGTGATGTCTGCTGGGGACACAGGATGGGACAGTGGCAGTGTGTCAGCTACTTTTTCTTTTTGTTTTTGAGTTGAGTTGCACTCTTGTTGCCCAGGCTGGAGTGCAATGGAATGATCTTGGCTCACTGCAACCTCCACCTCCTGGGTTCAAGCGATTTTCCTTGAGCCTCCCAAGAAGCTGAGATTACAGATGCCTGCCACAACACCCGGCTACTTTTTTTTTAGTAGAGATGGGGTTTCAGGATGTTGGCCAGGCTGGTCTCACACTCCTGACCTCAGGTGATCCACCCACCTTGGCCTCCCAAAGGGCTGGGATTATAGGCGCGAGCCGCCGCGCCCGGCCTATGCTGTGCTTTCTGCACCCAGCGAGTACTACCCATGCTGCTGTGGACAAGGGGTGGGCTCTCTGTTTCAGTCTTGAAGCACTTCTGCCCCAGGATTCAGTTCTCTCCATGTGGATAAAGGAGTAGGTTTGGTTCTATCCATGTGGGTAAAGGAGAAGATTCGGTTCTATCAATATGGTCAACGTGTGGGAGGGGGAGGAGGAGGAAGGGACCTTTGTATTCAGAGTGGTTAGCGATAACATTATGGGTCATGGGGTTAGATGGCAGAGGCCTTTGTGCTATCGAAGACTTGCCAGATAGGAAGAGTGAGGGGAGGAAAATGGGGAGGGGTGGTGACCCTGTTGCCATACAGGTGGTGCCTAAGGCCCGCCTGTGCCACTGCTGCTCTGCAGGCTGCTGACCCTGCCATGTTGAAGGCTGGAGGCTTCCATGGAAAGACAGCTTATGGCTTGGTGCCCCTGAACGTCCTAGGTGATGAGTGCGTGGAAATTTGTACCCGTGGGACCCTCTGCTCTGCCCCTACCCAGGGCTTCTGGAGTCCTTGAGGGAGCCCAAAAGATCAAGGCCCCCAGCTTCCTCTGGCCTTGAGGGCTGTCCCAGTCCTGGGCACCAGAACTCACCCCTTCGCAGCCCCAAGGGACAATGCCTTTTGGTTCCTGCCCCATGCTCCTCATGCCTGGTGCCTCTCCTCCTCCCCCCGCCCAGCATCAGTTGCCAGGCTCTGCTGCGGGGCTCCCCAACTCCCTATGCCCCCGGGCCAGTACCTGGCACAGACTGGGAGGGGCTGCTGGGGGTGCCGAAGCCGTAGTCGTTGACTGCGATGACCCGGAAGTCATAGCTCACGCCCGGCTTCAGGATGTCCATGCTGAATGTGTAGGAGCTCACCTCCTTGGGGATGTCTTTGATGAGGATGTCCCATAGTCCCTCATCTGCAGGAGCACAGAGGAAGGCCTGGGAGTGAGGGGGAGCCCGAAACCCCGCTTCCATCCCTGTCCTGAGTGTGGTCCCTGAGGGCTGGGCCTGCTGGATCCACCCTCCTCCACACCAAATCGCAGTGGCTGGTCCTCCCTTGAAGTTTCTTATAAAGACACATTTTAAGGCTGGGAGTGGTGGCTCATGCCTGTAATCCCAGCACTTTGGGAGGCTGGGATGGAGGGATCATGAGGTCAGGAGTTCGAGACTAGCCTGCCCAACATGGTGAAACCCCATCTCTACTAAAAATACAAAAATTAGCCGGATGTGGTGGCACACACCTGTAATCCTAGCTACTCGGGACGCTGAGGCAGGAGAATTGCCTGAACCCAGGAGGAGGAGGTTGCAGTGAACCAAGATCTCGCCACTGCACTCCAGCCTGGTATAATCCCAGCACTTTGGGAGGCTGAGGTGGGCGGATCACCCGAGGTCAGGAGTTTGAGACCAGCCTGGCCAACATGGTGAAACTCCATCTCTACTAAAAATACAAAATTAGCCAGGCGTGGTGGCGTGTGCCTGTAATCCCAGCTACTTGGGAGGCTGAGGCAGGGGAATCGCTTGAACCCAAGAGCCAGAGGTTGCAGTGAGCCAAGATCATGCCATTGCATTCCAGCCTGGGCAACAGAGCGAGACTCCATCTCAAAAAAAAAAATAAATAAATAAATAAAGACACCTTTTGGAGCATCTCTTTTAGGCTTTTTATTAAAATATCAGTACTACATTAAAAGATACGTACTGTGCAGAAAGTACTGTCACAACCAATGACAGTCCCATCGTCCAAAGAAACAAGCTTGATGCATTAGCCGTTGTGCGGGCAGAACACTATGGATTCTGTCCACCACGTCATTAAAAATGGTTGGGAACATGATTTGAAGTGACTGCCTAAGGTGTTATCATACGGGAACACGCTTCTTAACTAGGTCCTGGTTTTCTAACTCCCTTTCCTCGTTCAAAACCTACACAATGGTGGCAGGAGACAAAAATAAGAGTGCTATTTTTCTTTTCTTTTTTTTTTTTTTTTTT